GGGGTTCACCCCTGTGATCCAGGCACATCCCCCAGACAAGCCTCCAGTCCCCTCAAAAAACAGGCCACAGACACAGCCTCCAACCCGCAAATCCCTAGATGGAGACACCCCCCCCCCCGCCATTTTCCCCAGACACAACTCTTATCATTCTAGACCAGGCTTCCCAAGCCCCCCCCAGTCTCCAACCCCCACAGTCTCCAAATAAGCTCCAATTCTGCCCCCCCACCCACCCACCCCTTCCTCTGAACACATTCTTTCCACTTGGGGTAGAACACACACTCACGGGTTCTCCCTTGGGGCCGGGGGGGCCCTGCACGCCTGGCAACCCCTGATCCCCTTTCTCACCGGCTTCCCCAGGGGGGCCGATGAGGCCAATTAATCCAATGTGGCCCTGGAGGACGAGAGAGGCACACACAGGGAAAGAAATATGGTGGGGGGATTGCTGGAGGATTTTTCTTCTAGAGCCTCGGGGTAATGAGGTTGGGAGCAGAGGAGACCCCAAATTCTCAGCCCTCTGGCCAGGGAGGGAGGTAAATGTGGAGGAGACAGAGGTAACTGGGGGAGAATAATGGAAGGAGGTATCCTTACTTTTTCCCCCTTGGGGCCAGCATCTCCCTTCAATCCTGGAAGGCCAGAGGGCCCCTGGAAGGAGAGTGAGGCTCAGTTAGTCAGGCTCAAACACAAAATCTCAAGGTTCATGTGGGTGATTGGAGGGTAGTCAAATGGGAAATTACTCATGTTTCAAATGGGAATTACCAGGGATGTGGTCATGGGGATGGTCAGGAGAGAGGGGTGATGACAAGGGATAATGAAGGGCTGGCTGGAGAGGTCCAGTATGAATGGTCCGTGGTCAGGATCGCCGTGGGTGGTCAGTGTTGACTATCAACATAGATGGTCAGTTTGGCTGGTCATGATGGTCACTGGGGTCGGTATAAACCACCAAGATGGAGGGTCGGTATAGACCATCAGGATAAGACCATCAAGATAGATGGTTAGTACAGGTGGTCAGATGGACTGTCAGTGAGGGGTGAGCCCACGGCACCAGGTGGCCACTGGATGCCCAGCGTGGTTCTCCATGCCGAGACACCAGGGACAAAGAGGTCTCTTACCAGGGGTCCAGGAGGGCCCATCAGTCCAGGAGGTCCCAGGAGGCCTGGTTCACCCTAGGATGAAGCAGAACGTGGGGGTGCTGCACTCGGCCGGACCCCGTGTAGATGCCCCCACCGCCCTCCAGGGTCAGCCACCTCAGGCTGTGATTAGAAAGCATAAGGTGGGTCACACACAGAGGGTCTGATCCCACCCTACTCACCACAGGGCCGGGGATCCCCCGAAGACCCTCAGGCCCCACACGTCCAGGGGGCCCTCGAGCCCCCACTGGGCCCGTCATCCCTGGGGGCCCGTCGGGACCTGGCTCCCCCTGAAACAGACCAGGGCAAGGGAAGGGCGGGAAGTGTCAGACGGTTCCTTCCTCCTGGCCTCCCAGCCAAGAACCATCAGGGAGGGGGAAGGAATTGGGGCACCCATTCTGATGGCCCATCTGTTGGCCGAGGATCAACACGGGGACCCTCCCTGGGCAGGGGGGGTACTCACCTTGGCCCCTTTCTCCCCTTCGTTGCCTTCTGGACCCATGCGGCCTGAAGGACCCTGAGGAGGGAAAGAGTCTAGGAGGGATGCTTTGGGGGTGAGGGGGGGGCCTGGGGAGGGGGGCGGGGCCGGGGGGGGCCTGTGGGGGTGAGTGGATCAAAGCTGGAGCCAGGTCAGCCAGGAGGCAGGTCTTACTTACCCTCTTGCCGGGGGGCCCAGGGGGGCCAGGCTCCCCAGAAGCTCCAGGCGGACCCTATGGATATGTAACAGTACCAGGGTAGTATTAGCTCACGTCGGTTGAGCAGGGCTATGTGTCATATGCCTGTGATCCCAGGACGGCCTTCCCCAGACATCCCCACAGCACCAGCCGTCTCCCACCTCCTCCATTAAGCTGCTCACCGTCCATGGTGACGGCCCAGAGCGGCAAAGCAGGTGCTGTATGGGGGCCCTGGGTACCTCATCAGCCTACTCCTCCGGCCCCCCCAGTCTACCCACTCACCAGCCCCAACCCCCCTCTGCCAGCATGACATGCTTTGCTCCCCCACTCACCGGTCCCCCAACATCACCAGGGTCTCCCTTCTCTCCTGGGGAGCCGTCTATACCCTGTGGGGGATGGGAGGGGTCATGGAGGCAATACGAGTTTGGGGTGAAGCTTGGGGACACATAAAGCTTATGTGCTCCCCTGACCTTGCCCAAGTCTGTGGAGGGAGGCGAGATGGGGGCAGAATTAGGAATATATTGTGGGAGTGGGGGGCTCACACACACCGAAACTCCTGGGTCTCCGGGGGGGGCCTAGATCTCCTGGGAGCCCAGTGGGGCCCTGGAAGACAGAATGACGAATAATCACCTCCCTGGTAGTGAACAAAACACAAAATCCCTGCCCTGGGAGAGAGAGCTTTCTACAGTCTAACGCGTGTAGGCGGTGACCTAGGGGCATCACATGCATCGCCTCACTTCATCCATCAGGTGTCTCCCAGCCCACGACTCAACAGAACTGACCCTCAGGAAAGGGGTGAGATGCAAACTGAGGTCCCACAGACTCCGGAGCTCCTCACTGCCCTGCCAGCCACCCCAAGCCCCACTGCCATGGCCGGGGGAGGGGGGGCGGTCTCAGCCTCCACCCTGGTGCTAAATCCCACATCAGCCCCAGCTCTGTTGCCAACATTTCCAGATGGGTTCTGTGTGGAAGCAACTTCCACCCCATCCCGTGACATACAAGCGTGCCTTTGGTCATTGTCAGCCACGTTCTGGGCGGCTCGGGGGCCAGCAGGTTGGAGGAGGGAAGCCCTGCTCTAGAAGTCGGGGAGCAGGGTCAAGGCCCCTCCCCATCTCTGCCTCCTCTTCTCCGAGGACTCACCACGTTCCCTTTGACTCCATCCTCTCCAGGGGGGCCTTTCTTGCCTGGGGGTCCAGCAGCCCCAGATGGACCTGAGTCCCCCTTTTCACCAATTTCTCCCTTGGGCCCCTTTGTAGAAATAGAGGTCGGAGGTCAGAATAGCCTAGACAAGAGTCCAGGGTCAGGGGTCAAGGGTCAGCATCCCTGGACTCAAGAATCTGGGTAGTCTGGGACTTCCTGGGGCCAGGGGTCAGAGTAGCCTAGACTGTCTAAGAGTCAGAGGTCACAGGATCTAGGACTTATAGGAGTCAGGGCCAAGGATGGCCCAGGTGCTCAGAGATCATGACCAAGTTTGGTCTAGCCCACATGCCACATTGGAGTGAGTTAGAAAAGGGGATCCCTCTGGGAAGTTCATCCCCAACTCAGGGTGTATGGCTTGGATCCGAGCCCCCACCCCCTCTCTCAGCCCCACACCCTTGTGCAGTGTACAACCTGAAGAACTCTGTGTAGCAGCCCTATCTGAGACCTTCCAGGGCTCTGTCATCAAGACAACTGGGGCTACCCATAGGTCCTGGGTCAATGGGTGACTCTGGTCTGCCCAGGGGTCAAGGTGCCCCAAGATGCCCAGGGGTCAGAGGTTCCCTGAGATGGGTGCAGGGGCACAGGACACAGTCACTCACAGGGATGCCTGGGGTTCCTGGGGGTCCTGGGTCTCCAGCCTCCCCTGGCTCACCCTGTAGGAGGCGAAGTTGAGCGTAAGGAGAGGTCTGATTATGACAGACAGAAAGGAGCTCCCCAGAACAGCCACCCCCAAGCAAGACTGGCTGTGCCTTCCCAACCCTAGGCAGTCCCCTGCCCCCTTTCTCTCACCTTCTCGCCCACAGCGCCCGGTTGACCAACTCCCCCAGGCAGCCCTGGAGGGCCCTGGAGAGACAGCAAGGGGTAGAAGTGGGACTGCAGGATGCCAACAGCCCCTTCGTGGGAAATGGATGTCCCCACCTCTCAGGCATCCTGCCCACCCTCCACAGAGGGTCCTCACCTCCGATCCACTGGGGCCATGGGGACCCCTAGGGCCTGGAGCTCCATGGGGACCCTGTGAGACAGTCAGAATAGCATCCAGTGACCTCATGACCCCTCAAAGGCACCACTAACCACAAACACCATCCTTAATGCTGGTTCCCAGCATCATCTTAAAATGACAATGTGCCCTGTGACACCACCACCTCCAAATCAGTCTAACGGTCACCACCACCCTGCTATCCTCGTGCCCTCCCACCTTCCCCAGGTTGTCCATACCATGGACCCTACATCTCCGACCTCCCCTTTCTCTCCAGGAGGGCCCGGCAGTCCCTGTGGAACAAAGAAGCAAGATTGGAGCACAGAGTGTGGGGAAAGAGGCCACGCCCCCCAAACTCAGACACACACCTGCAGGCCAGGGGGGCCAATCATCCCAACGAAGCCTCTCACTCCATCATCTCCCTTCTGCCCAAAGAGGCCTGGTGGTCCCCTGCGTCCCTGAGCCCCATCTGCTCCCTGGGAGAAGGACAGAAACAGGGCACAGTGAGGGTGTGGGTCAAGGGTTGGAGACAGGGTCAAAGTCAGGTTAACGGTTGCAGTCAGGTTTGAGATTAAGTTTGGAAAGGGTCAGGGTTGGGCTTGGAGGTGGGGGTACAGGTTAAGGGTACAGAGTTTGGGAATTAAGTCAAGAGTTGAGTCAAAGTTTTCAGATGGGCAGCGAGTGGTGAGATGGGCATTGGGTGGTGGGTTGAGGTCAAGGTCATGAGCAGTGTTCAGACGAGGTGGAGGTGAAATTTAGGGTCGGGCTTGACATTGGGGCCAAAGTCAGATTCAAAGTTTGGGTCCAGGTTTGGGGTCAGCACTGGAGGGTGGGTCAAAGTTGGGCTTCAGGGTAGGACTGGGTCAAGGCTCAGATTTGAAGATAAAGTTTAAGCTGGGATTGAGGTTCAGGTCATAAGTGGGGTTGAGACTGGAACTGCGATGCCCTTCAGGGTTCAGGTTGAGGTTGGGATTGAGCCAGACTCTGGGATGAGTTCCTGTTGGGTGTCATCACAGAGGGGTAGGGGTGGGGTTGAGTTTGGGTCTGGGTCATGGTGGAGGACACTGTCCCTTCCCATCGGGGATCCAGGCAATGGCCACAAAGCCAAGAGCACTCACCGGGGAGCCTGGGTGTCCCACGGGACCCCGTACCCCTGTTGGTCCAGGCGGGCCCTGGGGGAGGGAACACAGCCAAAAACACCTCAAATTCAAGATTGGGAGCGTGCTCAAGATGACATTCACTGCTCCCACTGCCCCCACCAGGAAGCAAGAGCTGCTTCCCCCACAGTCCTGTCGTCCTAGCCACCAACAAGTGGGATCAGATACAGACATCGTCCAATGCTTGGGTCACTAGGACTTTTCCCCAGAAGTCCCTCCAGGGACTGAGCTGGCTCACAGATGCAACGCTTTGGCTGAAGGTCCTAGAGGGAAGCTGGGGAGGTGATGCCCCAGGGCCATGCAGAGTCACAGACAGAGAGATGGCCACCAAGGAAAGGGAGAGGAGAGGGTAGCCATCTCAGCACCCCTCCCATTCTCCTGGGGTCCCAGCTATCCCCCTCATCCTTCACATCCCTCTGCCTTCCCCCAGGCCCACCTCCCTCACTGGGCCCCACACTCACCGCATCCCCTTTATCGCCTTTGCTCCCTTTGTTGCCAGGGGCACCCACCTCCCCCTGCAGAGGAAACAGGTGAGGGAGGACCAACATGGCCTCTCCCTACCCTGAGCCCCCCAGCCCCTCCTCCACGAGCTCTTGTGTCCGTGAACTCACCTTGTCCCCATCCTCACCAGAAGGCCCAACAGCTCCCGGCGGTCCAGGAAGCCCCGGGGGCCCTGGGATCCCATCTTTGCCGGTGGGGCCAGGGGAGCCACGTTCGCCCTGATGGGGGAGTGGAAGAGGGGATGGTCAGGGGCCAGGGCAGAGGTGAAGGTCCGGGGATGTGGGGGGTGCTGGGTCCTGAGGATGCTTGAGGACTGTAGCAGGCAGGCACTTACCGGGGAGCCCTTCTCGCCTGCAGGGCCAACAGGGCCTTGGCCTCCACTTTGGCCAGGAAGCCCCATGCCTCCTGCCGGGCCCACAGGACCCCGCTCCCCAGGAGGGCCCTGGAAACAGGGGTGAGAAGTGTGGGAAAAATAGCAAAAGTTCTCATGGATAGAGGGGGTTTCAAGCCACCAGGCACTGAGGCAGGTAGTTAACCAGCGTCATATCCATCTGTTCCCTTCCGCACAGTGGCCAGAGGGACACCTGTCCCTCTGCCCACAGCCCTCCACGGCTCCCACCTTACTCAGGGAAAATGCGAAGTCCTCCTGGTAGCCCACAAGGCTCTGCACGAGGTGCCTCATCACCTCCTGCCCTCTCCGCCTCCCACTCACCCCTCCTCACTTCTTTCCAGTCACACAGGCCTCTTGAGCATTTCCTCCAACATGCTAGCACACCCCAACCACAGGGCCTTTGCACATGCTATTCCCTCTGCCTGGAACACCCTTCCCCTGTATATCCGCATGGTTCCTCCTTCACCTCCTTCAGGTCTCAGCTCAAATGTCACCTTCTCAGGGGGCCTTCCCTGACCAACCCGTTTCAACTGCTCTCTCCCTACTCCCCCTTCTCCGTGTCATTCATCACCAACTAGAACAGAAGCTCCAGGAGAAGGGAGGTTTTTATATGTTGATGTCTGGCATGCAGGTAAGTATGTGTCAGACGGATCATCTCACTGTGATTTACAGTCTGTGGGGCGGGGCTGTGTTACAGATGAGAAAACTGAGGTCACGAGGGTGACCCAGGCCTGTTTGACACCCAAAATAGTGGACTTAATCATAGCGATGCCCAGCTTCCCAGATGCCCCAAGCCCCCCCCCCCCCCCACACACACACTGCCCCCTACCCAGCAGATGGGGTTACACTTACATTGGCTCCAACAGGGCCCAGGGGGCCTTTGTCACCCTTTAAACCAATAGGTCCCTGAGGGAGGAGATGATTCAGTCAAGAGACCCCCCCCCCCAAGGGTGTGGCCCAGGTCCTGTCTTCACTCTGGGGGCTCACAGTTCCCACCTTCCTCCTGGGCACTGAAGGTCAGGGGTCTCTCTCCTTTAGGTCCCTCCGGCTATGATTCCTTTACTGCACCCGGGATGCCATCACCATGTCCCTCCCCCCGAGCCCCCTTTCCTTCTCTGCTTCACAGGCCAGCCAGGCACATTTAGGAGGGGTTCCAAAGAATACTCACGGGGTCACCAGGGGCTCCTTGGGGGCCGGGGAAGCCCCTGGGTCCAGGCGGCCCTTCCTTCCCAAGGGGCCCGGGTGGCCCCAGGTCTCCCTACGGGAGTGCAGGGGGAAGGTCAGCCTCCAGAGAGGTGCAGAGGTGCTTTCCCCTCTGTGAATCTGGGCCCCTCCCCCACGGAGCTGATTCTGAGCCTTGGGGTGGCATGGGGCCAATCTCTGGGGCCACTCAGCCAGATTTCTTAGGGGGTAGGGTCTCACCTTGACACCCTCTCTGCCTTCCAGGCCCGGAAGACCTTGTTCACCTGGAGGTCCAGGCGGGCCTGGGGGGCCCCTCTCGCCCAGAGGTCCCGCTTCTCCTGTCTTTCCCTGGAGAGGAAGGAAGCTTCTCTTGAATGGAGGCCGCCCGGGGTCGGGGGCGGTGGGGGGGGCGGGGGGAAGGTCTGTCTGAGATGCACCTCTCCCCGAAATATCTGCAAAACTGGAAAGACCTGTGGGCTCCCTTCTGACCTGAGGACCCACGACACCAGCTGGTCCAGGTGGGCCTGTCTGACCTTGGAAGCCCTGGGGAGAAAAATTTAAAGGGGTGTCACATGGGAGAGAGAACCAGAGAGCCTCAGGGGGTGAGGGGTCAGAAGTCAAGGGGCCACTCACCAGTTCTCCTCTCTGTCCAGGGTGCCCGGGACGCCCGTCCTTCCCCTGGGGACCCTGGGGAGCAGGGTGGGAGGGAGATGAGACGGCACTAAGGAGTCTCCCCACTCCCTGGCTTCCCTCCGGGCCCCCCCCCCCCACCCAGGGTGCACGCACTTACAGGGGGACCTTTTGGTCCGGGGAATCCAGGAGGGCCCTGCAGACCTGGGAGGCCCTGAAATGGAACCAGAAGCCACGGTCTCATCCCTCCTGCCCCCCGAGCCCCACATACCGAGCACGTGGCGTGCTTTCTGCACGCCGGGCAGGGGGCCAAACACGCACCCGCAGTCATTATTCCAATTGTCACCGCAGCCCTTTGTGGTTATTCCCATTTTATAGAGGGGGAAACGGAGGCCCAGAGAGGTGGAGTGACTCGCCCAAGGTCACGCAGCAGCTGAGTGGCAGAGCTAGGGCTTGAACTCACAGCTCCGGACTTCAGAGGCTGCGTTCCTTCCACTGCACCCTAACCACCTCCTGGGTTCGTCTGCCATCCCGAAACACACACACACACACACACACACACACACACACACACACACACACACTCACCTTTTCCCCAGGGATCCCAGAGGCCCCGTCCTGGCCCACATCACCCTAGGACAGAGTGGATGGGATTCAGGCTGCAGGACAAACTCACAGGGAGGGCCGGGGGAGCCCGGGCCGGGGGGGCCCGCACGAGGGCCCGATCACCCACCCAGCCCATACCTTGGGGCCCGGTTGCCCGGTGGGACCCGGTTGGCCCCTCTCTCCACGGGAGCCCTGAGTAGCAAAGAAGCAGAGATGAGAAGTGAGAGGGTGCCCGACTCGCCTGGGCCGCCTCCCGTCGTGACCCCTCCTTGCCCCACCAGGGACGCGGACATAACCCAGACCCCAGACGCTCTGCCCTGCCCGCTCACGATTCCCCCCCCCCCCCCCCACCTCTCCTCTTGCAGCCCCTCCTCGCAGCCCTGCCCCCCAAGGCCCAGCAGGATGGGGGAGCATTCACTCTTCTTACTGGTGGCCCCCGCTCTCCTTCCAGGCCCGGCTGCCCCGCTTTGCCCTGGAGAACAAATCAGGTGACAGGGAAGCAGAAGACGGTTATGGCACAAAGACAGGAAACACGCACAACCGGGCACAGACCCAGAAAGGCACCTGCTGTACACTTCTTCACAAGCCTTTCTCACACACACACACACACACACACACACACACACACCCCTACGCACATTTATGTCCACGGCCACGCACGTGCATACAGGCTTATGTCCTTGTTTACTGCAGGCCCGTGGGTTGTAACACCCAGACCCCATCTGATCTACACTGAGAGGCACCCGTACACGCAGACTCATGCACAGTAACGCGAGGTGGGGTCACCTACCTGTGCCCCGCGCCGCAGAGGGGAATATGCGTGCAGACAAGTGCTTCCAGGCTTAGCCATGGGGCCTACCCGCTGCCGTGCAGAGCTGCACGTGTTCCCCCAGATAAGCCCTACCCTTCCCCGGCCCCCGGACTCACCCGCTTCCCTTTTTCTCCTAATGGTCCCAGCGGCCCAGGAAAGCCAGTAGATCCCTGAGTTGAGAGAAACAGAGAGAAAAGATGGGGGGTGGTAGTTGTGGAGTGGGTGGTCAGCAAAGTTGACCCCTCACCCTTCAGCCACTCCGTCCTTTCCAGAAGTTTCTTTGGTCCTTCCAGGCCCATCCTCCTCCCAGGCAGCCCTCTGCCCTCCTCTTTCCCCTCGCTCACCCCTTGCTCCCTCCACTTCAGCCACACTGGCCTCCTCCATGCTACTCAGGCACACCAGTACACTCCTGCCTCAGGGCCTTTGCACTGGCTGCTTCCTTCGTCTAAAATGCTCGTCTCTCAGGTCCCCACACAGGCAGGTATCCCTATGGTCTGGATCTCATTTACATGTCAGTTCCTTAGAGAAGCCTTCTGCCACCATCCTGACCACCACGTCCTCCAAGTCACCCTCTGTCACCCTGTCCTAGTTTGTTTTCCCATAATATTTGTATTGAAATGACCTTGCTCACTTGCTTACTCATCCGTTGTCTGTTTTCTCTGCTCTGACATGGTGCTCTGATCTCCTGATCTTAATCCCCTCAACCTGGTACACAGACAGGGCTTACTGGATATTGGTTAACTGACCCCAGTCCATGCCGTCCTGCCCGTTTGGAGGCGTCCTCCCCCGTCCCCACAGAGGAACACATCACAGGTTCTGCTATCTCCTCCTGCTCTTCACCGTGTTTTGAATCCCAGACCCCCACTGGATTAGCTGTGTGGCCCTGGACAAATGGCCTACCCTCTCTGAGCATCAGTTTCCTCATTTGTAGCCTGGGGACACCAATGATACCTCCCTCACAAGTTTTTGGTGAAGATTAAAAAAAAATTTTTTTTTTTAATGTTTATTCATTTTTTGAGACACAGAGAGAGACAGAGCATGAGCGGGGGAGGGTCAGAGAGAGAGGGAGACACAGAATCCGAAGCAGGCTCCAGGCTCCGATCTGACAGCACAGAGCCCGATGTGGGACGCGAACTCACGGACCATGAGATCATGACCTGAGCCGAAGTCGGGCGCTTAACTGACTAAGCCACCCAGGTGTCCCTGGTGAGGATTAAACAGAATAACGAATAGGAAGCATTTTACACTGTGTGTGGCACATGGTAAGTGCTTATGAAATGTCAGCTGTCATCATTCATGCTGATTATCACTGACTGCTATGGACTGAATGTTTGTGTCCCCTCAAAATTCATACGTTGAAGCCCTATGTTGAAGAATGGTCATTTGGAGGGGGGCCTGGGTGGTTCAGTCGGTTAAGCATCTGACTGGCTCAGGTCATGATCTCACGGTTCCTGAGTCCGAGCCCCATCTCGGGCTCTGCGGTGACAGTGTGGAGCCTGCTTGGGATTCTCTCTCTCTCTCCCTCTGCCCCTCTGCCTCACCTTCTCTCTTTAAAATAAATAAAATGAGGGGCGCCTGGGTGGCGCAGTCGGTTAAGCGTCCGACTTCAGCCAGGTCACGATCTCGCGGTCCGTGAGTTCGAGCCCCTCGTCAGGCTCTGGGCTGATGGCTCAGAGCCTGGAGCCTGTTTCCGATTCTGTGTCTCCCTCTCTCTCTGCCCCTCCCCC